TCTGCAACAACAATTATCTGTGATGTGTCTGAATATAAAATTTTTTCCTTGTAAATGGGCAAAGAAAAGCTGATAGGAATTGGTCTTTCTCTGTAGAATAATATTCAATAATGAGTTGTTGAAGGATTGTTTTCTTATTTTCAAGAAACATATACTTTGTATATGTATAATATTATATATAATATATAATTATACATATAATATATGTATAATATTAAGGAAAAGATAATAAAATCACCCATAACTACTTCCACTAAAGATAACCATTCTTAATATATTATTGTATTTCCTTCCAGTCTTTTATATGCATATATTTTATAATCTAGTTATAATTGTGCTGTATATAGTTTTATATCTTACTTTTTTCTTTTAACATTATAAAATTTTTATGTTATTAGGTTAGGCATTGGATAGACCGTTATAAATCATTTAGTCTATTACCTATACTGGAAAATTTTGCTTGAGTTCATTTTATTTTTCTACTTCAAATAGCCCTGTGATGAATACCTTTAAATTTTTATCTTTTTTTTTGAATTTTTCTATTTTAACATGTATTTTATTATTCCTTTCGTAGTTTCCTAAGAGTGGAATTATTGGAACAAAGGTTATAAATATCTTTAGAGCTCATGATACATATTGACAAATTGTTTTCTAGAGAGGTTTATAATTTATCCAATGTTCCATTCCGTCAGAAGCACAAGTAGTGCCCAGCAAGACAGATTTTTTTAAACAAACATACTAGCATGTAGGTGCCAAAATACAGGTAATTCTCTTCAGAGGAATCACCTTGGAAAGCTATACTTATTTAAATGTAGTTGACTTGGTACATACCGTTACTTCAGAGATTTAGTACATAGAATAGCACTATGTACTATTGTTAGTACCCGTGATTTAGACATAGAATAGCACTATCCATTTGAGGTCTGAGTAATTTTTGGCCATTTTCAAAAATTGCATGATCTGTTCTCAGAGAATAAAGACCGGCGACCCTCGAAGATATACAAACGTTTGAATTACCAGCGAATAGCCTTTGCTACTTTGCTTTCCCTTCTTCAAGGACCCTGCTCCTGCTGAATGCTGTTGTGACCATCAAAGCAATGCCATAGAAAGGCTAGAAGGGAGGAGGAGAGGGCCAATGTGCTATGTGCTGTCCATAGCTCTTCCCCCAGCTGTGTGTCTAAGTAACTGCAGCCACGTGGCTCCATTTGATGCAGAGAACAAAATTAGACCTGAAAGTGGGGGATTGGCATAGTATATTCATGAAAAGGTGATTTTATTAAGAGAAACAATTTGATACTTTTAAGGAGCATGTTTTAATGGATTTTACCTGATCAGAGAGAGAGTGTATGAAATAGAGAGAAAGAGAGAGATACAAGGGGTAGAGAAAGTAAATGAGGCAAAATATTAATAATTGGGGAAATTCATGTGAAAAGTGTATCAGTTATGTTGTTCAATTCTTGTTACTTTCCATAGGTTTGAAAAGTTTGAAACTGAAAAGATAAGGAAAACTAACATCTGTAGGGGAGGAAAAATTAATTTTCTTTTAGCTTTCTGTGTTCTTGGCTGAGACACCTCTGTGTAACAGGACAGATTAATGGGAGAAAAACAAATTTAATTATATATGTATGTATGAATATCTTTGAGAAGCCCTTCAAAGATATGAGACTCAAAGAAGTGACCAGCGTGGGCAACTTTTATATCATTTAGACAAACAATGCCTTGTCAAGGCAGAAGGGTTTGAGCTTGGGGTAGTAAATGGTAAAGAATTAACAAGGTTTATTTATACAGACGTCTTGGTCCTAGATTCCGTATCTTTGGTGATAAGGATGTCTTCTAACCTGGACAAGGAGAGTAGTTTTCACATGGGAGATTTACTTCCTGCTTTCAGGGGGACAGAGGAAGGTCAGAATGCCTTTCTTGCACTGGCTGTTTCTTAAGTATCTTTATTCAAAATAATCAATATGCCAATGTAGCATATTTTAGGGTGACATTCTGAACCCTGCATACAACGAACAATACCACAATTCCCTGAAGAATGATCCAGGAATGAGTGAGAATGATCAAGGGCCTGGCATCAAGGCAGATGTGGATCAGAATATACATGATTTTCATGTGATCATGGGTGGTCTCCTTTGGAATTCTTCCTTTGAGTGTGGGAATTCTATACTTGAACTATTTCTTACAGCAGACTACCCAGTGACAACTCCCAAAATACATTTTATGGACAGAATTTATCACCCTAATGTAGACATTGTGAGGAATCTGCTCAGATATTTTGGAAGAGAAGTTGCCCCTAGCATTAGAGATCAGCAGAGTTCTGTTTCCCATTGAGATGCTTCAGCAAATGATGGAGGGGCATGGGAAGTAGTAGAAGACAAAGGAAGTTCAGTTTATTGAAGCATCCAGGGTGTGGACTAGCTACACAATGAATAATATTTAAATTGGTCTGAACATCAAGTGTATAACTCTTCTCCTTTTTTGGCTAATATGTCTTTTTTGTTTGTTTGTTTCACTTAATGTCTTTGGAATGTTACATAATAAAATCCAAGATCTCTTCAAGAAAATGGTAGACAAATAGCACATACCCTATTATCACTGAGCTTTTAATTTCTAGTTCTTTTGGTCCGTGAATCTCTGCAAAAAGGATATTAGAAGATATTAATTTGAACCAAAACTTAAGAGTGGCTACATCATCAGTCCTTGTGTCAGGTTAACTTTGAGCTGACAAGAAAATATTTTCCAACATGGTAAAGGAGTAATTCTTGGAATTTAATGTGCCTATAAAGCGCCCAGGGATCTTCTTAAAAACACAGATTGTGGTTCAGTTGATCTGGAGAGGAACTTAAAGTTCTGCACTTCTCTGGGGTGCCTGGGTGGCTCAGTCAGTTAAAAGCGTCTGACTCTTGATTTCAGCTCAGGTCATTATCTCATCTCACAGTTCTTGAGATCTAGCCCCACACTGGGCTCTGTGCTGACAGTGAGGAGCCTGCTTGGGATTCTCTCTCTTTCTCTCTCTCTGCCCTACCCTTGCTCATGCTCTTTCTCAAAATGAATGAATAAACTTTAGAAAAAATTCTGCATTTCTCATGAATTCTCAGGTGATGCTGATAATTGCTGGTCATGGACCACATTTCAAATAGCAAGTAGAGAACAGAACAAGTCTTTGGAGTCAAAAAAGGCCTCTTTCCATCTTGGTTTCCTCAGTTATAAGATGGAGAAAATGCATACATGAAATTCTTGTGAAGTTGACATAAAACAAGCATTTTTGAAAGTACTTTGTAAACTTTGCTTTCTCTAATAATAGTTTTTAAAAATAATACCTATTACTTTACAAATCCTTCCTTTGCAGAAAACTTAAAGAAAGGATGTGAGGCCAGGTGAAGTAAATTATGCTGCTTTGTTACTATTCAAGGCTCTTGCACTAATGTGGAAACCATGAGCAAAATTCATTCCTATGGGCAATGTTGTTGAATCTATTAAGAATTCTAAAGATTTGATACCTTGATACCTTATTGAAAAGCTATTAATATTGATTAATTCTTTTTTTCTGAAAAGAAGTTTCTTTTGAAAGTTTTGGATTTCTATTATATATCATCCTTCCTAAGAGCGACTAGAACATCTCTTCTTTCCCTAACCAAGCACCAGCCAAAGTAACCAATGGACATTTAGTATTGGTTTGGGGAAAATGGTCAAACAGTGAAGCCATAATCTCATAATTGAAATTATATTATTTTCAAATACAATCTTCAGGCACTGTGGAATGAGAGAACTCTAATTAAAAAAATAGATAAGGCAATTGATTAGCTACTGAATACCAATAGGCTTTTCGGAAGACAGTTGAGTAAATAGACAGTGCTAAGATTCTTTCTCAATGAAAAGCAAACAAGCAGTTACGGGACATAGAAATCCTTTTGGAAAATAAAATTTTAACACTAAAGTTAAAATTCAAAGCTAAGAAGCTTCCGTTCCTAGAGATGTTGTGAGGATTTCTTTCTTTCTTCTTCTTTTTTTAATAATGGGAAATTCTCACGATGGTGAGAAGTAATAACAGAACAGTACAGGTGGTAGGAAGGGAGGCTGAGCCTTTTATGTTAGACTCCCACATTTGGCTAGACTCCAGTTCCCAGAGAAAGCAATTATTTTCCAGTATTTCTTTACGAGAATAGAACTGACATGCCATGCCACTGTGAGTTTAAAAACAGAAAGGAGTTTCTTAAACTGTCTCTAACTGCCTACAATTGTATTAGCCGCTAACTTGAGGGAAGGTGGGAGTGGTGATGGAGTTCTTTGGAGTAGGGTAGGAAAGAAGGGCTTATTTGATAAAGGTAAGAGGGTCCACAGGAAAACCAAAGTCCGACTTTATTTCAAAATTTAAAAATGTTTATACTTTGCATAACTATGACTACATATATCTAACATGCATTTAAGGTTAAGTTATTAATTGATTCCTTTACAATTTCACTGGAAAAGAATTCAGCACTAGATATGTTATTCTTTTTTCCTTTTCATGTTATTCATTACCTATGTATGCTAAGATCCTAGTCATTTTTTTCCATTATTAAAAAAACTTGTTTTCCTGATTATTTTACTCTGTATCTGAGTTCTTTCTTACTCTATCTTTAAACCCCCTTTTTGGTGTCAGCATGGGTCTTAAGGATGGCTCACTACCTTGTCACATGTGTGTGTTCGTCACACATTTGAGTCAGGAGTCACACATTTAAGGGGCGGGGATATAAAGAATCCAGAGGAGAGAATAGAGATTTTAACGAGATAATTCAACTGAAAATATCAGCCATACCACATTTGACCTATCTCCATAAGGACTGAGAAAGTATATTATCACTTTCATAATTTTTAGATTTGCATGCATATTCTTTGTCCCTATCTATATAAGGTATGTGAATAATTCTTGATCATACACATGAATATGAATGAATACTATAAGAATACTTGGGTAGACCTGGTGAACCTTAGTAGATTTTGAAAGAAAAAAGCAGGTGAAAGAGGCAGCAATGGTTATTTTATTTTATAAGCTGTTTAACCAAGTAAGTTGAATTTGAACAAGAGTCAAGTCAAACTTGCTGAGAACATTTATTGCTGCCAGTCAAGATTAATAAAGTATAGGACACGTTTGTAAAGAAGAGCCAAGGGAAGCACAACCTCACTCCTTTGGTGATAAGGCCTTTGTTACTGGATTGTCATAGTCAGGTTGGTTGGAGGCCATTGCCCCTCTCTCTGGGACATCTTGATGGTAGCGCCTGCGCCCCAGGGACTAGCTTTGCTGCACAGTTTGAAGCCGCTTCAGTTTTGTTTTTTGTCTTCTGGCAGTTCTCAGTTTTTTCATTTTTAAGAAACTGTCCTCTAATTGGTATAGAAAGTCTTCAATTCGTCCAACCTAGAAGAAACAAACAGATACAATGAGATTTGTTGTTTTCTCCCCAGGTTTTGTGTCGTTAGGAAAATGGTGAGGTATTTAAAATGAAACGGCACATACAGATCCATGTTGGAACAGAATTGGCGGAGATGGACATGATTGAACATAAAAGTCTCCTGTTTCCATTTCAGTTTCCTCTGTTTTAGGAACATGAAGCAGACATGCAGGAGTTTGCTCTACCACTCAGTCCTATGTACTGGTTATAGAAATGGGGAATATCATCATCCACTATCTTTAATGGTCAGTGAAACCTGGAATTTCAAAAAGAAATAAATGGTGAAAAACTCCACCATTAGCAAAAGGAAGAATGGAAAAACAAATCTACGCCCCTCAAAGCCAGAGATTCTAGCGTTTATATGCCCCTGGCCAACTTTGGAGAAAAATGAATATTACACATTGTCTTAGCAAGAACTATTTCTCTTTTAAATCAAAACAAAATTTTGAAAAAATACATTTTCTTAAAAAATGCCACACTCCAGGGAATAAGATAAAGTAATGATATACAAAACAATACTTCTAAACTATTTGTCTTCCTCAAAAGAAAACTTATAATTATTCAGTGACAGTTGGTTGAGTATGTTGTACTATTTGTCACAATTTTATTCTGCTAAAGAACTGTAGAATAAAACAGTTTACATATATGCTGCATTGGGCTCTCATGAAAGTCTGTAGATACAACAATTTGTACTTAACCTTGACTCCCAGCACCTGCATAGCGTATTAGCCTAAAATCACTCACTGAAGAGCCCATTGTCATAAAGTTAGCTCAAAGCTAGAGCACTTACTGTTCAAGGTACATGCAAATGTCATCTCCTTAAGATAAAAGCACTTAAACTCTAGTTTTCCAATTTTGAGTTTTACTTTTAAGTCACTTGATTTATCATTTAGGGTTCCACAAGATAATTCAAATTGTCAAAAAGCATAATAAATGGTAGCATTCATCTATATGTTATGTGTAGGTCTTATCACCAGGTGATGTAAATTGTCCATTGGTTTCCTTAAGAAAATTACATAATTTATTTATATGAAAGCAATTCTTTTTGAAAACTTAAAATTACTTCAGGTAAATTTTTCCAAAAGCTGGCATTGTTTATGATGTCTCATCACTGCATCAATCATCAAAATAATTTGACAGGATATTTTTGTACTCATGAAGTCAGTGAGTTATTCTATGTATTCCATACATTTATACTATCCAACTTACACCAAAATCATAAATAAAAAATTAACTTAGAGCACAACCAAAACAAATGTAATAGATGGCACTTTACCATTACTTCAATAGTTAATGACTCATTTATGTTTTTCCACTGAAAATGTATCATTTAAATCAAAGCTCTCTACAATTAGAATGTTTGCAATTAGCCTAAATACAATTTAAAATTACAATCCTAATGCACAAACTTTCTTCAATGATACAGAAACATAATTGTTTTAAAATACCCATTAGGTGGCTGTTGTCTTTTTTTCTTTTTAAATTGTATTTATTAAAAGCATTGTTGACTAACTGGGTTGCGTTTCATTAGAGAGGACCAAAGAAGAAACATCAAATGTCTGGTTCAAACAAAGAGTACTGTTAAATTAAGCTGGACGTCTAGAGTTATATATGATGTGCATGTCTTACCCTACCTGGTCTGTCTACATGTTATCCTTTCAACTCATTCTCCTAATGATACCTGAATGATCTTTTTAAAATGTAAATCTGGTTATATTTTTCCCTTGATGAAATGCCTAAATGGATTCCCAAGCCCTTAACATGGCTTACACAGTTATGAGTGATCTGGTTTCACTCACATCTCTAATTCCGTCTTTCACTCCATTTGCCTCAGCTATGTAGTACATCTTTCAGTTATCTGAACACAGCAGTGCAGTGTACTCTGTGTTCTTGATCTTCTTAATGCTATGCCATGTGATGGAATGCTCCCATTGGAAAACTCTTGAGTTTTCTCTGGATTTCAGGTTCATCATCAGCACTTCAGGGACATCTTCCTGGATAATCCAGACCAGGTTGGGTCTCTCAGTAACATATTCCCATTGCAGCCCATTCATCTCCTTGCAAATTATATATGTATGTGAAGTATACATACATATATATACACACATATACATATACATACATGCATCTCTATATATCTCAATTGATTATAATGATTTATTTAATATCTGTCTTCCCATCTGGGTTTTCAGGACTATAAGGCAGAAACTAGGTCCACATTGTCCACTATTCCTAGCATCTAGAATATGGTAGACCGTCAATAATCTTCCCTTCTGATAATAGAGAAGGCATTCAGAAACCAATTTGTTTTTCCATATTCAAAGTGATGTCTGGTAAGCAGAAGGCTTTCTTATCTTTTTCAAATTAAATAATCACCATTTTCATGTGCCGTCATTCTATTACCATTGTTTAGCTTTGAGAGTCTCCAGGCAAGATGATAACAAGGTGTGGTCTCCATACTTGAAACAGACTGAGGTAGAAAGGGCACTGGACAGAGTCAGGAGTGTTGAATTCTGCTCATGGCTTATAACTCTCATGGCTTAAAACCCTGACCTGTGACTCTTGAGAAGTCACTTGGCCTTTCTGAGCTTCAGTTTAACCAACCTTTGGTGAAGAAAGGGTTGGCCCGGATAATTTCCAAGGACACACCAAGCCAAAGAAATTCCATGACTTGTACTCGCATCAGATCTAGGTTAGTTCAGTCTTACATGAGTCCTCACATTTTTCAAACCACAGGTTATTCTCTTAGATTATACCATTAGATGAATGACACACTATGCAGTAAAGTAAGTCAATTTTAGCTTTTATACTTTCTGAAGAGTAGGAGAGCTGCAACATGTTTTTAGTAAAGCTGTTTCTTTATTTTCTTTTTTTAAGTCAAGGAAAGAAAAATGCTGGTTGAAGAGAAAATAGATTCATATAACTAAGAAGAACAGATTGCAAATGATAGAAATTTTTATAAAGCCCTTAGGGAAATAGAACACAAAGAAATATGTAAGCATGTAAGGAAGGAAATGAGCCAGTTTCTGGAGCAAAGGCCTTATTAGACTTCCTTTTTGGTACAGAATCTACTTGCTTAACTATATCAGATGGTCTACTTGGTCATTCTGGGTCTAATTTTCCCATTTGCAAAATGGGCAGATAGCATTTTCTTATGTATCTATGTGCCAATGTTGACTTAGCTTTACAGGGATAGGGACATCGGGCCAAATGAGCATGCAAAGAATTCTGGGATGTCACATGATCACAGGGGCTGAAGGTTGTCAGTGAGATTCTCATCTAGCACATGGCTATCAGTCATAATCCACATCAAAGAATAAGGAAATTATTATCCACTAGTTTCTCAGGACCTTTAAATCTTATGCACAAAAATATGTCAGCCATGATTTAGTGTAGATTCAAGAAGTTCAGAATGAAGATGCCTATGCAACTCTAAATGAGAAGACAGCTTGAAAGTATAGGAGATCTTAAAATTAAAATTCTAACCGTATAAAAACAAATAATGCCAATGAGAGAGAAATGTGGAGGTAACTAAACAGACCAATTTAAATTACAAGGAAACTAGGGGTTCCTGGGTGGCTCAGTCAGAGCATCCGACTACAGCTCAGGTCATGATCACATGGCTCATGGGTTCAAACCCTGCATCAGGCTCTGTGCTTGGGCTCGGAGCTGGGAGCCTGCTTCGGGTTCTGTGTCTCCCTCTCTCTCTGCCCTTCACCCACCCACACTCCATCTCTTAAAAATAAATAAACATTAAAAAATATAAGAAAACTTCTAGTCAGCTCAGATTTCAAAGGGAGCACATTTGTTCTTTCATGCAAATATTTATTGAACATTTATTTTCCACTTGGCACTATAATTAGGGTGATAAGCAAAAATATCAAGATATTTGTTTATGAGGAACTCATATTCATTTAGGAGAGAATTAATGAAGAAATAATTGCAATAAAGCATAACTGTTTATGTAAGAATTATGTACAAAAAGTTCTATTAGCAAAAATGTCAGAACAGTGACTTTTTTTTAGAGCAATGAATTCTATTTGAAGGGATATGGATGTGCATTGGTGGAGATAGGAGCTGGCTCTTTGCCAGGACAAGAAGTACGTTCCAGGCAGAGGAAAGGACATCCGTAAGAACAAGGTTGTGAAAGAACATGGGGTATTTGACAGTGATAAGTTTCTTATAGCATAGATGTGGGCATCTGGGAACTCGGGCATCTGGGAACTAAGAGTAGAGACATATACAGCAGGAAGTACTGATTGGAGTTAGCTTGTAAAAAGTTGAAAAATATTTAGCCTTGTGGTTAGAAAGTAAATCTGGTAACATTACATGGAATGGAATCCAGTCAGGGAAACTAATGGCAGGTGAATCAATTAAGGGACAGGTGTAATAGACTATGGAGAATACTTTAAGGGCCTGAATCAAGAACTTAAAGGACATTTAGGAAGTAAACTCTATAGACTTGATCAAAAATTTTGTGGTGGGACAAGAGGCAGGCAAAATTAGAAATGACTGCACAGTTTCTAACTTGAGATAATGATGATATTTTAATGAGATATGAAATATAATTAGATGAACAGTTTTAGGGAAAATAAATGAGTTTGACTAGTGACAAATGTAAGAAATAGGAAAAAGCTCACATAATCAGAAATTAATAAAAGGTGGATCTATAATAATAATAATCTAGTACTAGGCTAAAAGAATGAAACAAAACCCCAAATTAAAAGAAAAACCAACAACCTCTGTACCTCAGTCTATCATGTGAAAAGCATTCTAGTAGTTATAAGGTGCTAAGAAAACAAGATTGATGCTTTAAGTTATTCAGAGTAAAAAGGTGATTATTACAGAGATATGGTATTGGATCGAAGTCAGATATATCTTGTTTGGAATTCCAGCTCCAGCATTTTCTTGTGTGAATTTGTGCAATTTTATCTAACTTCCTAAAACCTAAGTTTCCTTTTCTATC